CGGTCGTCCCTCGGCAGGCAATGGCAAACCTCCGAGTGTATTTCTGCCATGAAAAACAGCTTCTCATAAAAATACAATCGCCGTTCGGAGTCGGCGTAAAACTGTACTTCCCTCCGCTTTGTGTGACAACTTCAAGGCGCACGCCACAAATCGGAGGAGAAGCTCGGCCAAACACTAACATATGTGTAAGCGCCAATCTATTATTATTAATAATGTCAATTGACTTTATTTCGCACCAGGGATTGAAAGTTACAAAGAAACTGGAATATTAAAAGTAAAGTACCAAGTTGACTGAGCTTTACTCGGAACGCAAATATATATCATCGATGTTTTTGCAAAACCGCCCATCGTCCAATTGCAAAACCGCATATCTTACGGTACAGGAGAGCGAAAAAACGGTTTATTCTTTGAAGGAATTGATAGGCGGTATTTTCTGTAGCTATTATTTTACAAATTTGTTGTTTTAATAACCTGTAACAGGTCTATTCTGCGCTGGTAATAAAAAGTTTGTAACCGGTAAATAAAGTTCCTGTCAATTTTTAAACCCTTTTCGCATTCTGTGTACTCTTGTATCCGGTACATTTTGTTACCGTCTCATAAGCTGGTAACAAAGTATTGCCCCGTAAAATATGCAATGCCACAATTTGCACAATTCTTCATAGCGGAATTGCTGAATATCTTAACTGCATTACCAACGTACCTAGAATCGCGGTGACAAGAACTGGTAACATTTTTTGGTAATACAATTTTCCGGTTACAAAATCTTCGGTAACGTGCAGAATAGACCTGTAAGAATTTAATAAGAGCATAGCCATGCGTAAGCTCTTCATAGCAAAATATCAAAAATATATTCTTTGAAATAAAATGTTGGTTTGACCATTCTTGTTTCCATATGGATAGTAGAAAATTACAGCAATTAAAATTTTGGAATAAAATTAAACACAGTGTGCCTCTGCGGTATTCCAGAAAACAATTTTTTTAAACAAAATTTCAAAAAATGGTAAATTTTAATAGAATGAATAAAAAATATATGTAAAAATAGGTTATTTTTTATTATTTTATTAAATATTACGGGGTTTTAGCTTTCAAAAGAAGAAATAAAAACCTGCTCATTTTTTGCACTTTCTGAAGTAATGCGTTTTTCCCTAAGGCATAAATTATTTTTTAATTTTTTGGCAGTGCCTTGAGATCTGCACGATTCGTTTCATTTTCAAAAATGAAGTGTCAGATTAAAAAGCTTGACCTTTAGATAATAGAAGGTTTATTTTTTTTTTAAAGAGTTGCCACCTGTTAAAAAATTAGATTCAAGTTTTTTTTTATAAGTTAAATGAATTATTAAGAGATGGGTATCAATCGAAATGTGTATAATA